AAAAAATAATATTGTACTATATTACTGAATTATACATATTAACTGTCAAAGGGAGCCTTATTGTAAAATGTAAGACAGTAGGTACACTATTTATTAATGACTAATAAACTTGTATAAATACCATAAAGGACCTTTACTGTAAAGTGTAAAACATTATACTATTTATAAGGCTCTGTTATGACATTATACAGTTAGACTTTACAATAAGGCTCCCTTTGATTACTGTGAATATGTATAATGTGGTAATACAGTAAAATATTACATGTAAAATATGTGTTTTCAATAAATTGTGCTTACAAGGTAGTAAACTAGTCTGAAATGTTTTTAAAGCACCTTTTAGATGTAATATATATCAGAACAGATTTGCTTCAATATTTGGCAATAAACCGGACAATTTTGTCTTTTTCCTGTCTTAATTAATGAATAATAAACACTTATTAACAATTTATAAAGTGTCTACGGATGAATTAATAACCGATCTACAAACTATTTATCAGCCATCTATAAGGGGAGCCTTATTGTAAAGTGGTACCAACATTTTACTTGACTTTTTGAGATTAAAAGTCTTCTTTAGTTAACCTACCCCTTTCAGTGGACTTTATGCATAATCAGCTGAGTGCTTTTACTAATCGCTCTGCTCCTTTCTGAGTGCTAGTCATATGTTTGAGGCCGTCTGCCGTAAGTATCGATCAGTTGAACCAGATTGACCTGTTAGTGYCTTCTTAAACACAAACTGGGCAGAGGAAGAAGAAAGGGGGATGAGAAAAGAGGTGGAAACGGGGTCAGTGTGAGATTGATGATACCAGGAAGTGTGAAAGATTACGCATTCTAAAAAAGATAGCGGGGAGAGGAAAGCGAGACTGATGCTGATGTGAACTGGGTGTAATATAGAAAGGAAAGAATGGACAGAGAGGTAAGGAAAGGAGGCCATAGAACGTAAAAGAGACTGGGCAAGAGGGAGTGAGTGTAATGGTGAAAGATGGGGAAAATAACCAAGGCTGAAAGACGGGGAGGAATGAGAGAGACGTCAGAAAGAAAGGCTGCAGACGGGCTGGGAGTAAGATGGATGGGACAGAGAGAGCGATAAAGAAGCTATGGTTTAAAAAAAGAAGAATGAGAGTAGCGATAGGAGCGGGATGAGAGACAAAGGACAGAGAAGCGCGAGGCTGACAGGMTGATATGAGTGTTTCAGGAAAAGTGGGTGGAGGGGAAAAAAGGCATAAAAATCTGGAATGCAATGAATTCTGCACATTCCAGCAGCGTATTATCATAAAGGCATTGCAATCGCTCAAGCCCACATTGGAAAAACAATCTCATTCTGATATCAGTCCTCTGTGTGTAGAGAAAGGACTGAAATGCGTTTACTGCACGGCTGTGCAAATTCATGCATAAAAATATTTGTTTTTAATATGTTACTGTGACTTAACACAATTTAGCCTCTTGATGGGAATCCCTTTTGTGCAGAGAAAAGCAAATCTTCTTTCACTTACATAGGTACTGTATGTTTTACTGTGGTAGATTTATATATATATTCTTTTTCTACATTCTTTCAGTCAAATGAAGTTGCTAAGATGGGAAGGGAAAAGAAGAACACTTGTTCAGCTTAAGTTCATAATCTGCCACAATGATGGCAACAATGGCAGCATGCAGGCTGGTTTCAACTCAGCAAGCTGGAAGTAGATGACGCTCATGAGCTCTTTCTATATTTAGGATGAGGAAAATAAGAAAATGAGTAGAATTTATAGTTGTTTTTAACAGAATTTTGCATAGTCGGGCAGCACTGAAAACTCCCACATCCAGCAGGATCAGTGTTAGACTTGGTGAGTTTGTGCTCACCAGCATTTCAGCAATCACTCACCTCTTCTTAACAATAACCAGCTGAGTGGAGGTCAAGGAGGAGACTGGCTTTCTTCTCCTATTGCTCCTTTTGTGTGTGTGTGTGTGTGGGGGGGGGGCATGTTTTTGCTACATCGTTAGAACTATTTTTCAGAAAAAAGCAGCCTTGTGGAGACCGTATACTGTACATCCCCACGGGTACGGATGCTAATTTTGGGCAGGGGGGGTTGGGTTTAGGACCAAGGTGTGCATTGAGTTTAGGTTAGTTTTAGGGTCAGGTAGGTCTGTGAGGTTTTGAGGTCAGGGTTAGGCTATAAAATTTGAAAATGAATGGTGTGCAATAAAATGCATGCAATCCTGAAAATGATGCTCACCAAAAATCCTATTTCTGTCTCCTTTAAAAGAGACATGATGTTTTAAATCCTCATTGTTTTCACATTTAAATCCTCAGTTGAGGTCTATAATGTGGAACTACAAAGTTTTGGTCGGAATTCCTCCCCTATTGTACCTTTTCTGAGGTGTATCTCAACTCGTTTCGAGGCTGTCTCTTTAAATCCAAATGAGACGCTTCACACTCCGCGCCCCTCCAGCTTCCAGTTTAATAGAGGGGTTTACGACGATATAAGTAAAGTAAAGTGAAGTTTTATTTATATAGCGCCTTTCACAGAAATAAATTCACAAGATGCTGTACATTCAGGGAAGTGGGG